TCATTGACACCCATGGCATGAATCACGACCACATGCAGATGGTTCCAAGTCTACATGAGCAGCTCAGATCCCTACTCAGCTGCAGACCCTGAAGCTGATGCCTTGGACATTTCCTCCTGGAATCTCCAGGCACCAGGAATGTGTGCGAGCTCCTCTGTCCCCACTGTCCTGCTTTGCCCGAGCACCTGTGTCTGATGGGACCACCATTACCCGGATTCCCGACTCTCCCCAGGGCATCCGATGTGCAACTAGAAATCAGATGACTCCAATATAGAGATAAAAAGTCAGTGCATGAATTTAAGATGGGGAGAGTCCCTTTCCTGTGACGATGAAACTGTAGCAGCATATTCCCACCCTTACACTATGATCACTATCAGGCTGCTTAATGGGCATAGGCATTTTAAAAGGGTTGGAGGAATAGCTCAGNGATCACTATCAGGCTGCTTAATGGGCATAGGCATTTTAAAAGGGTTGGAGGAATAGCTCAGAGGCTGAGGCGTTTCTCCCACAGCAGAGCATCCCTCTCTCCGTCCCTTTGTGCTCACAGCTCCCAGTGGACTATCCTCCATGGGCAGTTGGGGATGCCCTGCAGACTTGCCTTCTCTATGACCTTCTAGCCTGTGCTGGTCTTGGTCTCCGAGTGCCCCCTGGTGGTTGCGTCCGTTGACTGTGTCTCCATGTGGTTTGTCCCTGAAGGAGGGGCTGTGGCTTTGATTCAGGCCCTGCCCTCTGCAGAAACATCCTGAAAATCTGACCCCTGGCAATCATCTCAGTCCTTTGCAAGAGGGATATTTCAGAAACACAAAGCTGGCAGTTCCACACCTCCTTCAGTGGCTGCCCTGGCCTTCAGGGTGAGTGTCAGTCCTTCAGCTTAGTGCACAAGGCCAGGGTGGCCAGTCCTTTGTTTGGGGGTTAAATAGTGACCCCTATCCCCAATAGTGTTGAAATCCTAAACCCAAGTGCCTGAGAATGTGACCAATTTGGAGACAAGGTCTTTAAAGGGGAGTGAAGTTAAAATGTGGTCATTAGGGCAGGCCCTAATCCAGTGCTTCTAGTGTCCTTCTATAAAAAAGAAATTTGGACACAGAGCCAGAAATGTACAGAGGGATGACCACGTGAAGACACTCGGGGACTAGAGTGACGCAGCCATCAGCCAGGGATCTGTGAGGGATGCCAGCAGACGCAGGAAGCTGGAGGGGGCAGGGTAGGACAGCCCCTAGAGCCTGCAGAGGGAGGACCACCACGCCAACACTTTGATTCGGATCATCAGGAAGTTAAATCATTATTCTAGGTTATGCTGCCACACACAAGTTTGTCTGCAAACCCTAAGAGTTTAAAACATTTTTTCTTCTTTATTTCTTTTGTTCTTTTTTTCCTTTTTTCCTTCCTGTCTTATTTTTTATTTCTTCTTTTTTTTTCAGATTTTAGTAGGAGTCCTTAAATGTAATGTTATACGGAAGCCCAAAATACTAAGTTTAAAAGTGGTATTTTATTATTATGACTTTATTTTTTATGTACTGTATTAATTGTAGTCTCAGAACATTGACTTCATTAATAGAAATATTTGAAATACAGAATTATGGAAGGTTTTGTAGTTTTATTCACCCTTAGAAGCAATGTTCTTTGAGTAAAATGTTAGCAGATTCCTTGGTGGACCCTTAAACGGGAATGTTCAATTTGTCATACTTTTTGTATTATCGTAAAGTGACCACTAAATTAAATAGACCTGAATTCCAACAGTCATTTATATTCTATACACTTAAATTTCACATGATGTGACCTGAGTGTGTTGTACTAGACTAAGTTAACTAGACAAGCTCATAATTCTACAACTGGTTGAGTCAACAGCTAGTTTTTTGTACCTGGCCTGAATCGCTCACTGTATACTATTTCCTTTAGAATACTGATATCACTAGAGACATAGGACAAATCAAGTTCCCACGCATTTTATCAGAGTCTGTAGTGGCAGGAAGAACTGGAGAAACTGATACTAAAAAATGGACAAAGCTTAGGGTTCTTTACATATCTACGTAAAGGAAGAAGTCATTGCAGAATCAGCATCCACTACTTTCCATGAATGTGTACCTCTCCATCATCATTTCAACACCATTCCAGTAACAATCTCTTTTTCAAAACTCCACAGGTATAAAGTTAAACCTACATATCAAGACTTGAGCATTACCATTACTTATTACCGGGACTCAGCTCCCATTGGTTCTAATATGTTCCCTGGGCTAATATTTTGTGTGTTGAAAACTAGTTTTGAGCTTCAAACTTTTCCAACAGTGATTCACATATCTTCGTGCAGGTGGTAGGGCTGCACAGCATGTGAGAGTGAGGGTTGGGAGCTCTGTGTGCACGCCCTCTGCCCGCCCTCCTGGAAAAAGCCACACTGGTGGGCAACTAATGCACGGCTGCCACGCTCCCTTCATTCCTCCTCCCACGGGCTCTCCAGTGTCTGGAGACGCTGCCCTGTGCATTGGGCGAACATTTTGCAGAGGTTGTCAGTGCTATCTGTGGGAGCACTGGTGTGACAGCGACTTCTTTATGACGAGAGCTAATGTGTTTGTAGGTGACTTTTAAGATTATTTTGGGTCAGGTTAAAAATCTCAGTGAGATGTAGTTTGGCCTTACGTCAAATCTGTAGCTTAGTTTGGGACAAAATCAAGATGATATGAAGTTAAACCTTTGTTGGGTTCCTCTTCCCCTGTTCTAGTCTAGATTGTCGCCTCTAACTGGAACATGGCAAAGCCCAGTGCCTTTCGGTCCCCCGAGGATGCTGAGACTTCCTGCTTGGCATGTGACACCCAGTGAGGTTTGGCTATGGACAGGCAGATCCGCACAATTAGGAGAGCTGGAAATGTTGCCCTGGTGCCACCCTCCCCTTGCGTCCACGGCAGGCACTGCTGTCCCAGTAAAAGGCAGCCGAGTTCTGTGCACAAGGAAGGGACCCGACTCCAGGAACTTGCTGCTTCTACCACGAGATAAGGTGGTGGCTGGAAACACAAATGCCAGATTACGTCACTACTGAGCCCAACCGCAGCTGTAGTAGCAACAACCTTAATGTCCTGCTGTCCCAGCCGTCCTGTTCTGGCCCCTCTTATGCTTTCACATGCTCTAGTAAATCGAGGACATGGGTGGTCTCCAAATACAGATAAGAGTTATTTTACTTGGCTCTTGGTAGACGTGACTGTGTGATGGAAATGAAAGGATTTGACCAGTGGGTAGGAGGACAGAAACTGAGCCTTTGTATAAACATACTTTATGTCACTGGACACAAACAGGAGCCAGAAAAAGAGCAGAGAGCTTCTGTTGGGGAGGAAGTAAGAGTACTAGGATTCTGGAGGAAGGCTACATGAAAGGGTTAAACCCAAATGCTCCCTGCAGAATGTGCTGCTGGTGAACCCTGGGTGCATCTTGGCATGCACATATCTGCCTGGCGGTGGACTGTCTTGTCAAGGTGGATCTCTAGTGGGGGTAACTTCCTCCCCAAGGGAAGAGTCAGCCTCACCTGCAGTGGTGGACTGAGCCAGGATTTGTCAACAACCCATAAATTATCTGTGTATCTTCATAGTCCTGTAAGGTTTGGTTTTATACATTGCTGAGGTGTGCTCATTTAAGTTTTTCCTTAGATCTTGGGCACAGCACTAACACTATATGTATTGAAAAAGAAAGTGAGAGTGATTCCCCACATCTTTACATTACACTTATATGTAACAAGGGAATTTCCACAAAGAACTCATAATAGAAAGAAAAGTTAACTAAAGAAAATAATGCATATTACTTTAAATGCTGTATCACACTAATATCAATAAAATTCTAAATGCTATATATGTATTTCCTTATGTAGCCTTACTGTTATGGTTTTATTTTACAGATGAGAAAACCAAGGTTTTTAAAAGTCAAGTATCTTGACAAAGGAATACAGCAGATTCAAAGAAAGAAAAAAGAAAACATCAGAAATTTTACGATATTCATAGTTTTCCATATAGCTTGCAACCCATCCATACTAAAATATAAAATCTCTTTTTTGTCCAGGTAAATAGTCAGTAAATGAGCAAAATCTACAAATAATCAAGTGAACTTTATAATTATCAATCAACTACTTATATTTAACTAATCTTCAGGTGTCAGTTCAGAAATCCTATAGAAAAATAGCCAAGTGCAATAGAGGGAACCAATAACAATGCCTGTCTATGGAAATATAAAGAAAGTTAAAAAAAAAAAAAGGGAGAAGAAAGAAAAGAAAAGAAAAAGAAAAAAGAAATCATCCATGCATAATCTCATTAAGTTATCAATTGCCTAATGCTGCAAGTAATGTTTTCTTTTCTGTACATGCACACCCAGAACTCTGAGTACCAAGATTCTAACAGCCCAGCATGAAGTGTCTAAAATTAATGGTAAGTCCTCATTTACTGGGGATTTACTGCAGCAAAGAGAGGGGCAGCTTGGGATTATAAACCTTACTACTTACCAAAGAATTTGGGGAAAGTCATCAACTTTGTACAACTCAGACTTTTCTCCTATAAAAATATAAATGGATCTTCTGTAAAAGATAAATATTTTCGGTAAAAAAAATTTTTAAAAATTAATTTTAAAATAAATTAAATTATAATTGCTTTATAGATTTGACATATGTGGCTTAATACTGCCAAATACTTTTTGCTGCCAAATACTTTTTACTTGCGTCTGTGGTCTTTGCCATGAGAATTTTTTGCCATCATCTTGAGGAAGGTATGCAGAGCCCCGGTCCTGTTTTTTATGTTCCAAGATGTTTCTCACGGTTTTCAGATGTCATGACCTTCAAGGAAAGAGTATGGAACCACATTTTCCACTTGTTGGAACAGTTATTTTGCTCCATATTTTTGCAAAGTGCCTTAGATTCTGCCTCTGAAATCCTCCAAACACCTGTGACAGCATCTGGTCTTTTTAGCCACACATCCATTTAGTTGTTCCGAACTGACTTTGTTTTGGAATATCCCAGACCTGTGATGCCCAACATGTTCGTTATCGGTGGCATCAACTGCAATCCCTGCAAGCCACTGCCTCAGGTGAGTTATCTCTCCTTTAGCACAGGAAGAATAATCTGGCTTGGACATCGAATAAAAAGATTTCTTACTGAAGTGTTATTTGTGATTGATAGGTGTCGCATTTGGAATTCCTTTGTGGTTTAATGAATTATTTAGTGCTGATTCATATAATTGCGATCTAGCACATTTTCTAGGGGTGCCCTCGATACATGTATGTATGTGTATGCAATTGATATAAGGGTATATGATATTCAGGCCGATACATGTATGTATGTGTATGCAATTGATATAAGGGTATATGATATTCAGGCTGCAGTTTTTAATACCGTTTTTGGAAAAATACTGACAAACATATTAAGAAATGAAATCTTCCTTTTTGCTGATCTTGTGCTACCCCTTGAGGAAAATACTCTTAGCATTTTCCAATGTTCTGGAATTTTCTTTGTCTATTGTAACTTCTCCCACTCATTTTATGAAAACAAAATCTAGGGTCTGGCTGGACATATTTATTGTTCTTTGCCTTGCATTTTCCTCTTGCCAGTTAATCATAGATGTGTTCATAGGCCAGCACGCAACAGATGTGACTCGCAGTTTTAACAATTGCATAAATGTCTTTACTTTGAATGCACTGTTCTTTTTTCAAGTAACAAGTATTGATAGATATTTAGGCTTTTTCCACTTTTTGCCTATATGAAGAAGAGCGTATTAATGTTCTTAGTAACTTTCTTTACATTCATGCCTTTCCACATTCTTGTTCTCATCTCAGCAGGCCAGAGTCCTAGGAGTAGGATTGTTTGATTAAATGATATGCATGTATTACATTTTAATAAATTTGACAAAATGCTTTCAAAATATTGAACAAGAATACATGAGTTCTGGTTTTTCTATACTCTTTCTAGCTCTAGATGTTGTCCGACTTTGAAATTTCCTTGGCAAAAAATTCTGTGTAGATGCTTCAGTTTTTTCTTTCTACTTTCTCTCTCTGAAAATACATGTATACGTAATTCACAAAAGAGTAATATATATCAATATATCTCTTTTTTGCCTTTTGCATGTCCTCTTTTGTGAATTACATATTTACATTCTTTAACCACTTTTGATAGGGCTATTTGTCTTTCTATAACTGATTGGTATAATCCTCTTGAGTACTCGGAATACTAACAGTTACTTCCTTACATGTACTGCGAATCTCTCTTCCTAGGCTGTTCTTCATCTCTCGTCATACAGGATATTCAGTTTTCGGTAGTCAAATTGGTGATCTTTTTCTTTAACAGTTTGTGGGTTTCAGCTTCTTTATGTCTTCCCAAGCCTGAAGTATATAAACATTTTCTCCATATTATGCTTTAATGTTTTAAATTCTTTTAATGTTGACAGTATTTTGCTTTTACAATGAGAAGTTCCATCTATACAGTGTAAAGATCTAAATTTACTTTTTCCTCAATGGATATTTCATTGTCCCAACACCATTTAATAAAAAAAATCCATTCTTTACCCATTGGTCTTTGCCATGAGAATTTTTTGCCATCATCTTGAGGAAGGTAGTAACAAGTATTGATAGATATTTAGGCTTTTTCCACTTTTTGCTTTTATGAACAAGAGTGTACTAACGTTCGTACTTTCTTTAAATTCATGCCTTTCCATATTCTTGCTCTTATCTCAGTAGGCCAGAGTCCTAGGAGTAGGGTTGTTTGGTTAAATGATATGCACATGTTACATTTTAATAAACTTGACAGGTGCTTTCAAAATATTGGACAAGAAAACATGAGTTCTGTTTTTTCTATACACTTTTTAGCTCTAGATGTTGTCAAACTTTGAAGTTTTCTTGGCAAAAAATTCCATGTGGATGCTTCAGTTTTTACTTTCTATTTTATATCTATGAAAATACACACATACGTAATTCACAAAAGAGTAATATATATCAATATATCTTTTTTTTGCCTTTTGCATGTCCTCTTTTGTGAAATATATATCAGTATATCTTTTTTTTGCCTTTTGCATGTCCTCTTTTGTGAATTACATATTTACATTCTTTAACCATTTTTGATAGGGCTATTTGTCTTTCTATAACTGATTGGTATAATCCTCTTGAGTACTCGGAATACTAACAGTTACTTCCTTACATGTACTGCGAATCTCTCTTCCTAGGCTGTTCTTCATCTCTCGTCATACAGGATATTCAGTTTTCGGTAGTCAAATTGGTGATCTTTTTCTTTAACAGTTTGTGGGTTTCAGCTTCTTTATGTCTTCCCAAGCCTGAAGTATATAAACATTTTCTCCATATTATGCTTTAATGTTTTAAATTCTTTTAATGTTGACAGTATTTTGCTTTTACAATGAGAAGTTCCATCTATACAGTGTAAAGATCTAAATTTACTTTTTCCTCAATGGATATTTCATTGTCCCAACACCATTTAATAAAAAAAATCCATTCTTTACCCATTGGTCTTTGCCATGAGAATTTTTTGCCATCATCTTGAGGAAGGTATGCAGAGCCCCGGTCCTGTTTTTTATGTTCCAAGATGTTTCTCACGGTTTTCAGATGTCATGACCTTCAAGGAAAGAGTATGGAACCACATTTTCCACTTGTTGGAACAGTTATTTTGCTCCATATTTTTGCAAAGTGCCTTAGATTCTGCCTCTGAAATCCTCCAAACACCTGTGACAGCATCTGGTCTTTTTAGCCACACATCCATTTAGTTGTTCCGAACTGACTTTGTTTTGGAATATCCCAGACCTGTGATGCCCAACATGTTCGTTATCGGTGGCATCAACTGCAATCCCTGCAAGCCACTGCCTCAGGTGAGTTATCTCTCCTTTAGCACAGGAAGAATAATCTGGCTTGGACATCGAATAAAAAGATTTCTTACTGAAGTGTTATTTGTGATTGATAGGTGTCGCATTTGGAATTCCTTTGTGGTTTAATGAATTATTTAGTGCTGATTCATATAATTGCAGTCTAGCACATTTTCTAGGGGTGCCCTCGATACATGTATGTATGTGTATGCAGTTTATGAATTCCAGAAAGATGGGCATGGTTTTGCTATAAAGTCTTCCTGTTCAGGAATATGTTTCCCTTTTTATTCATATCTTTTCTTCTGTCCATCAATAAAATCTTGCACTTTATGTGTTTTATCTTTCTTATTATAATTTATTCCTAGTCACTTTATTATTTTTGAAACTTTTCTGCACAGTGTAATTTTCCCATTTCTATTTGGAACTGGTGATGTGTCATTGAAGTACATTTAAATTCAATTAAATTAAAGAAAATTATAGTAAATAAATTTTTGTACATTTATGTCATATATAGCCTTTTCACTAATTTCTCTCATTAGCTTGTAAGATTTATAAGGTGTACAGCATCATCTGCAAAGAATTGCCTGCAGCAATTTGTATACCATTTATTTTGTTTTATTTTGGCATATACCTTCAAAACATTGTTGAATAACATGCTTGTTATAGCCAGCTTAACTGAGATTCAGACATTGAAAAAGTCTTGACAAATACTAATTAAGATTCTTGGCAAATGCACAGTCAGTAAATTCAGGTGAAACACCCATTGTCATATCTCAGTATAGTATTTTATTAGAAACAGACTATGCATTTTAACCTATAGTTCTGGCTTCTTACAAGATTCAGTAGACTTTGTAAGTGCTGGGATTTAAATGTGTTGGAAACATAATCCCCAGTGCATCCATGTTGGGAGTTGGGGCCGAATAAGAGTGGTTAGGTCATGAGGGCATGTAGTAACATCGTTATCACAGAAGAAGGTTTATTAGCATGAGAGTGGGCTTGTGATAAAGGCGAGTTCGTACCCTTCCTGCTGTCTTGCACGTGTAGTCTCTTGCCCTTCTGACTTGCTCCATGGTATGACACACAAGAAGGGCTTTGCAAGATGCAGACCCTTGATCTTGGACCTCTCAGCCTCCAGAACAGTGAGACAAATAATCTGTTGTTTTTAAGTTATCTAGCCTGTAGTATTCTGTTATACCAGCAAAAAAGAAACTGAGACAGTAACAGAATCATATTCTCCCACATACTGGCAGATGTTTGCTGAAAGAATGAATTTTCAAGCACTTGAAAAAGTGAAATGGTGCTCTTTGTAGAAAACAGAGAGACTACAGTTTCATGCCTGTCAAAATTAGGCATTGCATTCTGCTCTTGGCAAGACCAGGCAAGGAGATGCAAGTTGCAGGATTCTATGAGGCTGAGCCTGGTCAAAGGATTTCTCTCTCCTTTATCCTCTGTCAATCACAGAGCCAAGGACCACCCAGGCGTCATCAACACCCTCACCCTCTACCCACGGGAGGGGCCCTGCAACTTCCCAAACTGACATTGACTTCTGTGTGGCTTAGTGGTTTACTCAGAGAAGTTTAGAGATGTAGAAAGCTATATGTGATGTTATGTCACTTTTCATATGTCTATATCTATAAAATTTGAAACTTATTGAAACATATACTTTTATGGATGTTCCATTATATGTATATATATATATATAAATATATGACATATATGCTTTTATACTCATATCTATTCAAGGATATATATGCATGGAAATTATTATATATATGAAAAATTATATATTTATGTATATATTTGTAAATGTAAATGCAAAGTAAGCAAAATTGTGAAAGAAGAATTCAGATCCCATAAAAGTCTCTTTGACAAAGAGCATTGGATACAGCAGAATTACAAAATTAAATTTTTACCAGAATATTTATGGACATTGTATGTTCCTCCTTTCTTGTTTAAGATGGGCAGGGTATCTCCTGGAAGAGCATACCGTTTGTTGTACCTTTTTGGGGAACAGGAGGCGTAATCTGAATCCCATCGGTCTGATGAGAAGAAAATATTGCTTGATGATAGAGTGTGTGTTTGTGTGTAGTGTCTCAGGCCCTACTTACAGGACTTTCCTTAGGGCATCCTGTGACAAAACTTCCTTGCATCTATCAAGGCGAATTGTGTTAGGGATGAAATTAAATACTTTCACAGGGATGGCCAATCATAATTTAGGAAAACATTGAAAGAGTTTAAATGAAAAAAAAATCAGTCCGTTTCAACTTTTGGAGAGTTCCAGGAGAATTGATTACTAGGTCCAGCTGGTCTCCAATCCCTCAGCAGACGTGAGTGGGCTTGGTGGTGGTGCAGAACGACATGCAGTGGGCTCTTATTTCATTACTCACGATTAAAGGTCCTTCAGATAACAAACATCTACTGAGAGGCTCTGTGTGCCTGCCTGAGTGCAGGGGTCATGGTCATAATCAGTAGACATGGCTTTGCCTGCTGGAAGCTGGCTGTCTAATGGAAGGCGGACCTTGATGAGTTACAAGCTGTGAAACACACTTTGAAACAAAAGTAAAGGGTGTGAATGGAACTGATAAAGGGGCCTTGCCAGGTGAGGAGTAGCTGGGGGAGCAGAGTGCGAAGCAGAGCAGGTGGCAGCGGCAATGTGAAGACAAATGTCATGAATTCCTTCATGTTTGGAACCCACGTGTTCTTCCCCTTCCCCCCGTCACAGGATCTCTTTACTCTAGTGAACATGAGCATTTGGAAGTCCCAGTTTATGTCTCTTCTGAGAAGTCCCTTTGTCCTGGCTTATTTAGTGTTCAGTGCCCCTCCCCACTGCCCTCAGCTCTTGGGACCACCACCCATGTCTGCAAGCCCCCGTGAGAAGTCAGAGACACAGGCCACTGCAGATGTCCGGCAGGGCAAGCCATACTTCCCTGCACTGTCCTGTCCCAACTAGGGGTGATTCAGGAACATATTGGACCTGTCCCGGGTCAGAGGACACTGACTTCTGCAGCCCCCACCCGACAGCCCATCAAATGGAATACATTAACCCCATATCCCACATCACACATGCTGTCTAGGTAACTTGATGAGCTGAGCTTCGTGGATTAATTGACATGGTGATGTGTTTTTATAGTGGTTTAAGAAAATATTTATTAATTTTACCTATACATATTAGTATGCTCGATTCAGCAAGTTTCCATTTTGATGTGTCAAACATTTTGCAGGTCTTTTGAAATCTCATAGGTCCTAACCCTACTACTTGTGGGTTGTGGGTGGCTAAAGGTTCTGGATAGTGAGAACCCAAGAAGTCAGCCCCTCTACAGGGTCAACTTTCCAGACAGCCCGCTGCTTTGCGTGTGACATCACCCCCATTGCCCACTGTAGCTCTCCCCTCTGCTCAAAATGCTCCCCTCACTTTTTGGGAAATCTGCTCCTTATCTGCAGAGATTGGTTTTATCCCAGGATCTTCCTCCTTCACCCCCTTGTGTCTGTCCCAAGCCTGAGTCATCCGGTCTGCTGTAATCCGTGAGAAAAAGTGGCCTTTGCCTAGACACTCAGGTGAATGGTGACTCCTAAGGACACCTTGAGTCTCACAGCACCAGTCAGGGCAGGACTGGGCTCCAGGAGAGCTGCCCTTTAGGGACCATCATGGTGACAGATTTGCCAGATTACTCTTCCTAGTGTCCAGTGCAGAAACACACACATGTGCGCGCGCGCGCGCACACACACACACACACACACACACAGATCATTCTCAAAACAGTATAGTCAAAGTCACAAGGAGGAAGAGAATGTTTGCTAATACCGTCTTATACTGAGAGTTGTCATTCTGTTATCTTATGTGTAGTGGTGTTAGTTTCTTTCCCTCATTTGCTCTCTCCACCCCATGTCTCTGTGGGTCTGCTGGGATGAGAACAGGACCTGCAGATAAGCTACAAGATGTTCAGAGCATAGATCTACTAGGAAGGGCTCAGACCAAGGTTGTCAACACACCAGGAGTCTAGAAGAAAGACGTGAGGTTTGTAGCAGCTCATGCTTCTATCTCTACATGCTTGCTTAAGCATTCTTCTCCAGATGGAATGTTCCTGGAAGGAACGCTCCCTAGCTTCTGCTGGCCTCAGAGAAGCCCTTTGACCAACTGGCTGGTGGTTTCTGCTGTGAGAACCGCAGAGGCTGGGCCATGAGGCAGCCCCAGATGTTCTAGAACCACATATCCCAGCCCTGTCAGGGCCTTCTCATCACCCCTGTGCACATTGTCATCTGTCCCCGATGGTTCTGCTTGTGCCAGATCCCCGCAGGCGCCTCTGCACCCTTTTGTGTGCCTCTGGGGTCCTCACTTCTTCCCCAGAGTCTCGCACAGTCTTGCATGAGAAAAGAGCCTTTCTGTTGAGGCCCTTCTCCTCTGCCATAAGGGCTCAAATCCAGGCCAGGTGCTGGGACACTCTCTACGTTGTCTTTCTTTCTAATTGTTCAGCTCCCTCCATCCCGTGGCTAACCTCTTTTCTTTTTGTGGGCTCAGGTGTCAAATGCCTCAAATTTATAAGATAATTTAGCTTCATATTTTGTTATGAGC